CTGTAAACTGTTTTGATTTCTAGCACTGGTGATTCCTTTTGTCCTTTTGCCTGTTCTGGACCCTCATCTATACAGGGTCACACAGTTTGTACAGAGACTGAATCCCCAGAGCCTGGTACAGTGCCTGGCACACAGATGGTATAAAATTTGAAAGAAAGCCTTGATTCTTTACCTAGGAGATCAAGTAGGTTGCAGGAGGAAACCCAACTGCCTGGGGCCATGATATGGTGGATCCTGAACCCTAGCCCAGGCTTCCAAATTCTGAATCCAAAGCTCATGGTTTCCCACACCTCCCTCTGGGCTTCCTCTAGTGCCGGGGTGGCATGAGTCTGACATCCTGGGCAGGTGGTGCCCCCTGCTGCCCACCAGGCTGACCTCTAGACCCACGCTCCCCTGCAGCGTTGTGACTGGATCACACAGGCCTGGAACCCAGTGCTACCAGTGACTGGCATGGCAGGGACTTGTGAGATGAAAGTCACTTGTCCTTTTATTTTCCTCTGAAAAGAGGTTTTCCTAAGCTTTGGGAGCCATCTCTTCTCAGAATAACAGACCAAGGGAGAAGCAGCCTTTTTGGTGGAGTGCTGCTGCCCCCAGGTGGGTGTCCAGGGACACTGCTACCAAGCAGGGCATCAAGCCTGGCGTTTTTTTGGGTTTCAGGTTCTGTAGCTTCTCTCCTGAAGAATCCTGCTCTCCATGTCACCATGTAGAGGCAGATGTCCATCAGGGCCACCACCCAGCACTTCAGCCGCGGCCTGGAGTGGGGCCGAGGGTGGGGCTGCCTTAGGAGGCTCCCTCTGGGAACCGGCCTCAGCTGTGTGTGTGGGCAGATGTAGCCCCCATGTCCATTCTAGGGAAGGGTGGGCTGGACATAAGCCTGTAGAGTCTGTCCTGTACTAAACTAGTGCTTAATCAGATGATACCAAGATTTGACCTGAGAGCCTGGTTTGGAGGAGTGGCGTCTCAGCAGGGAGGAGTCAGGGTCACCCCAGCCTGCTGCCCTGAGTGTGGGTGTTAGTCACAGAGAGCCCCTCCCAGCTTGGTTTCGTGGCCTTTTTGTCACACCTGCGGTTGGGTGGTGGTGTAACGGCTCAGCCTGCTCCCCTTGGCACGTGGCCTTGGGCGATGCTATCTCTAACTCAGTATTTTTAACTTTTCTTTCCAGAGGATGTGGGTTTTGTGGGAAAGCTTCAAAGGGTGCCCTATTTGCCCCTCTTGGCAACCATGATGTCATGGAAATGGGAGGGGGCTGCCCCAACCCCCAAACACCTGGAGGGAAGTGGGCGACTTTTTCCACTTCCTGTTCTACTTCTGGCTACTGACTCAATGTCTGACCTGTTTATTAATTTCAAAGTGCAGGTCTATGCGTCTACTCAGAGGAAACCTCATGCATGCATGACTCTGCAAGGAGGCCTGAAGCCCCCCTGCTGCCCAGGTGCCTTTACTCAGAGGCAGGGTGCTGGTGGCCCTGCCGCCACAGCAGCCATCCATATTTTTATTAGTGAGAAAGACAGTACTGAGTCACCACGTGGCTTGTCCCCTGACCCATCCATCTTAATCAGAAGCTCTCCTTTTCACACCTTGCTTGAGGTAGATTGGAATTGTGTTTTAGGATGAGACAGATGGAGAAACTGCGGTGGAACTGGGAAGTGCCTTCAGTCCTGGATCTTGGTGTGGTCATATAGTGATGGGAGCTCAGACTCCTGGGTGTCCTTTGTGCTTTCACAGAGAAGGTGTCCTCCAGGCTTCACTGAATGGATGAGTGCCCTGGGGGCTGCCCTGGCCAAAGGGCTGCCACTCTGACTTGCCTTTTCTGATAGTTCTTGTTAAGTTACTCTTAGCTCTTGGCAAAACTGTGAAATAGTAGCTCATTTGGCCACCTCCTCTATTAATCTACAGTTTCCTCTCTCCCGTACTCCTCACCCTCATTCAGCTCCCTCCCCAATGCCTAATTGCAGGAATTCTGCCTTTGTTTATTTGATGGCATCTGCTGTGTGCCAGGAACTTGCTAGTTGTTGGGGACACTGATGAACAAGGTCCAATTCCCATCCCAAGGAGCACAGGCTGGTGGACTTCCTTGATGAGATGTTGTTACCTGATAACAAGGGCTTTATGTGTGACTCTGGGAGCTGGATTTTATGGGTAAACCAAAACTGTAAATAGTCCTGTCAGACTCATTTAGCTGCCCCTCCAGTGAGGGGTGCGCTGTCAGTGCTGAAGACCCTTCTGGATACACCTGGAGCACACTCCTGCCCCTCCAGTGAGGGGTGCGCTGTCAGTGCTGAAGACCCTTCTGGATACACCTGGAGCACACTCCTGCTTTGCCCTGCTCTTTCTCCTGAGTAGGCTGTGACTTATAGTTGCACTCAGAGGTCAGGTCTCTGAGTGAAGTTTCAGAGAATCTTCTAGGGTCTTAGGCCAGGGGTCATGAGAGGTCATTTTGTTCATTCTTTTGCCCCCAGGGCTTCCCTGTGCTGAAGCCTTTTGGAGACAGTAGGGCATCTGTCCAGAGAAGCCCATTCTATTGCTGGCCTTGGCAACACATTTCCTGCTGCAGTGTGCCCCTCCCTCTGTGAGGATGGGTCCAGACTGGCAGAACTGCAGACTGGACATTTGCCCTGCTTACAGAGACCAGGGGTCTTCATGACCATGTCTCCAGGTGTCCTCAGCAACTTATTCCCTTCTGGCTAAACAATGCCCAGTTCATCATAGCTAGGGGAACTGAGGGGCCCCACTGTCGTGGCCCTTGGGCCAGTCCTGAGCTTCCTAGTGGGGGCAGGGACCCTTCCCTGGGCCTCCCACAAGGCCACTTCCTTTCCCAGTGATATCCCAAATGGGGCCTAGGACCAGAGGTAAGAACAGAGCAGTCAAGATGGATGGAGTCTTTGCCCCACCCCCATCAAGGAGGCTCAGTCCTAATTGCCTTTAATGCCTCGTACTTGAGGGTTGGTTCTTACTGAATTGAGGAACCCCTGATTTTAGATGAGAATTTCTCAGGAGGCAGAGCTGACCCTGTTCTCCAGATGGCCTTCTCATGGCCAGGCCTTGTCACCCTATACTTTGGCTTGGGGGGACCTGGAAGAAGAAGGCCTTATGCCCTCCTGGGGGGAGGTCTTTAGCCCCTGCTGCATCACCCTCAGGTGGCCTTAGGAGACCAGTGGCCACTGGGTCTTGCTCTGTGAGGGCACTGGGCTGGCAGGACTCCACAGGCCCCCAGAGGCCTCCTTCAGTCTGGGTCTCCTTTGAGGTGCATGGAGGGTCTTTGCTGCTATCCAGGCTCCTGTTCCCTGCCCTAAGCCCTGTGTCCCTTCAGTCTCAGCCTCACTTCAGCCAATGTACAGAGCGGACCTGACTGCCCAGCCACCCACACGTCCCTTGCCTGGATCTTCTTTATATGGAGAAAAGTGAATTACTACTTTAGGAAAAAGAAGACGAAGTAATTTGCCCTAAGTTTTTAACGGTTGATAAAGGCTGGTTCTATTAACCCTCCCAGGGGCATTTTCATTTAATACAGGAAGAAAATGCTTGAATGAGAAGAAATCCCCCATGGTGGAGTCTCTGGCACTGTGTCAGGAGGCAGTTTGAAGCAGGAGGCCCCCCAGAGTTCCCCGTGGGTGGGGTGGGAAGGTGGCACTATCCTCCCATGGGTGAGAGGGACCCTGCTCCTGTGGACGTTCTTCTGAGACCTTTCCATTTAGTGACCTTTAAAGGGATTGTATTTAGGCAGCATGGAAGGAACTGGGATTCTGTGACTGCCCTCGGTAGAAGGGACGTTGATTCTTAGTTCTACAGAAACCATGGAATCAGACGTGCGGGGCTAGAGGTAGCCTCCACTGTGGCCTGACCTCATGTAGATGGTGATCCTGAAACTCACAGAGGGAAGGGCACGCCCTAGGTCATCTATTAAAGCTGGTACAGGCTGAGGAGCCCTAATCTGAAAATCTGAAATTAGAAATGCTTCAAAATCTGAACTTTTTTGGAGTGTCCACATGACACTCAAAGGAAATGCTCACTGGGGCATTTTGGATTTCAGATTTTCAGACTGGGGATGCTGCACTGGTATAACAGTATAACATCAATATTCCAAAATCTGAAAAAATCCAAACTATAAGCATTTCAGGGAAGGGAGTCTTAACCTGTGGGCAAACTGTAAAGGTATCTGGGGTAATCACTCAGCTTTGAGTCCTGGTAGGGGTTGTGGTTAAGTGGGTGGCTGAGTGGTCCCTGAGGTGTGTCCCATCAGCATCTATGACCTTGGGGAAAGGTGCCTGAGCAGCAGGAGTCCCAGAGAACGGGCAGTGTACTGTGGATCTCTAGGGAATCCCACTCCTTGTTTCCTAGGTGACAGCTTGAGACATCCACTCTCCTTGGCCAAGTCCCTGGGCTTGAGGGGAGTGAGGGTGTCTCCACTTTTCTCATTCTCATGTCCAGGATGGTGGAGTGTAAAGTCCTGTTGGAGTTACAACCTCCTCCCCACACTGCTTCTAGACCATGTACCTCAAGGGGCTGGGCATGGGCTGGGACCCAGGCAGCAGAGTGGTGGGTGGTCCCTAGCCATGAATCTTTGGGGCAATGCACAGTTTCAGTGGAGATCCAATCTGAGAGGAAAGGCAAAGGAAATGTTCCTTTGGGATCAGAGGGCAGGAGATAGTGGGTGGCATTTTTGGGACACTTGCTGTGTGGTCCCTGCCTGCAAAATTTTGACTACAGGTCAGTACCACCCATGTGTGTGGGCCTCCTGCTGTGGGTGGCCTCCTGGCGTGGCATGAGGACGGGAGAGGAGGAACTCCAGCTTTTAAGTGGGTTTCCCCGACCCCCAGCGCAGCCTGCCAAGGGGAGTTTTTTGGATGTTATTCCAAAAAGAGGTTGACTTACGCAGCTTGTTGAATTGGGCTGCCTGGACTGCATCATGGACAAATGCCTTGGTTTCTGTCTGCTTGGCTAGTGATCACCAGCAAGCAGAAAATAACCCCAGCCAAACCCAGTCAAATGGGAGCATCATCTCTGTTCTTCCAAATCACTTTAATGAAGCCTTGGGCAGCGGGTATACAACATGGCTGAGGTACATGGCATGGCAGGGCTAGACAATGAGAAAAATCTCCCTTACAGATTGAGGGAAAGAGTAACATGGATTTCTTTATAAACACTATTTAAAAAAATAAGCTCCTCACGATATTTTCTGGGAGCTAGAGTCCAAGAGAACCCACTGGGGCTGCGCCACGCAGGGGGCTGCAGAGGCAGTTGGTCTCTGGGGAGAGCTGCAGCAGCCCTGCCTCTGCCGCGGTGTCACGCAGTGACAAGCAGCAACAGGGGACAGAGCACAGGGCAGCAGTCTTTGGCAGCTCCTCAGCAATCTTCATCACAAAGCCAGGCAGAATCTTGTTGGCGGCACTGCCAGGGAGCCCGACAGGAGGTGGGAGCCTCCTCCTCATGGGGTGGGATCCCTCCCTCCCTCTGCTGTAACAGGCAGGGGGGGACAATGCAGAGCACGGAGCGAGGGGGCACAGCTCGGATGGTCTTGCTGACCTGGGGTGAGGAAGAGCAGAAGTCAGGCTGGGTGCTGAGGACGACGCAGGACTGATAGGGGTGTGACGGTTATAGGTCTGTTTGGGGCTGTGACATGGAGTTCCAGGAGCAAGAGGACCTGGGATTCTTTGTGACGGTGGGATGGGATGCAGCTGTCAGCAAGATGACCAGGTTCCCTGGGGGGAGGGGACCTGGAGGCTCTAGCCAGGACGGGGTGATATGAACGAGCATAATGACTTTACTGGGGAGAAGGAGCCATGGTGGGAGAGAGGACCCAAGGAAAGGACGTGGGGCCCTTTAAGTTACACTGGGGAGAGCCGAGGGCATGTGCTGCAGAGCAGACTGGCCCTGAGTTTCTCTTTTCTTTCACCCTTTAGCTGTGCGGCCCTGGATGTCACTTGGACTCTCTTTCTTCATTTCTAACATAGGGATAATAAGAGCTGTTCTTCCTACCTCATAGCGGGGACATGGCTCAGCTGAGCTGGCTATGAGTGTGTTTCTGGGACACTGTTACTAACATGAAGAAATAGAAGAATTTGGTGGGTCCACGCTTAGGACTTAAAAGCGAGACCTTGCAGGGAGGTTTGCTGCCCTCAGATCTTGGTACCCACCCCAAGACCTGCACCCCCAAACCCCTGCTCCTAGTTCACTGCCCTCTCACCTTAGCTGGACCACAGCCGCAGCGTCATGAGCAGATTAAACCCGACCGCTTTCAGGAGGAGGATGCGGAGCCCAATCACAAACAGGTTCTGAGCATTGAGGTTCATGTCTGTAAAACCAAAAGGTCACTGTGGTGAGGGGTGTGCACGTCTGGGGTCTGTTCAGCCCTGCAGGACGCACCAAAGGCTTAACCAAAGCAGAGGGCGGTGAGTGGGGGTGGGCTTCAGCTCTGGGACCTGCTTCTCCCTTTGAGCTTCTGTGCACACTCCCTTGCAAACATGTTTGTGCCTTCCTGCAGGGTCAACAATATTGTGTTTCAAAATGAAAATACCAACTGGACTTGGCCCTTCCTTTTCTGAGCTCCTCTGGGGATGGGGTAGAGGTAGGCGCTCAGAACTTATCATCCCCTGGGTCTGGGCTCCTTCTGTGAGAATCTGGTGGCTGGACCACAGCAGGGATGACTCAGGCAGAACAACTGAAATGAACAATGGGCCCCAGAGTAGGTGTCAGCACTGCTGCGCGGGGACAGACCTTAAGAGATAGGATCACTGCCTCCAGCCTGTGTGGGCAATGCTGCTTTTCTAGAAAGAAGGCAAAATCTCTTGGCTATGGGGTGAATACATCCTCAGGATGAGGTTAGTTTAGGGCTAGACCTAAGGGAGTCAGAACCTCATAGCTGGGCCACCCAGAAGCTCTCTCTGGCTGTCCTGACAGCTACTGACAGGAAATACAGAGGCCTAGCAGTGAGTCACTGGTCTAGTGGAACTAGAGACTCATTCTCCAAGTACTTAGAATGGAAAAGAAAGTTCAAGGTGCTGAGAGGGATTCAAGCAAGACCCCAAGCAGCTCTGAGGAGGTTTCAAACTCGGTTCCCATTCCTTTTAACGTTTTGGCCACACCTGCTAATTCCTTCCCACCTCTATCCAATCAGGGTTATTATGGGTCATTGCCTCCCCTCCCCTGTTCAAAACTAGGCTAGACCCCTCTCTTACCTGTCTCAAAGCTTTTCACTACGGACTTGGCATCACAGGAAACGTCTAAAAGGAGAAAAAAAGAAATTTTCTTAGTACCAACAGCATGTTGACTCTCCCTCCCCAGACCTCCTTGTTACGGGGCAGCCTTCCTGTACTTCCTTGGGGAGAGAACTGGATGGAACGTGCGCCATCTGGGTACCTGCTGGGGGAGAGCCCCTGGCCCGGGTAGGACCAGCCCTCTAGCTTCTGGGCACCATTGTATTCACTCAACACATGCTCATTGTGCAAAGTGCATGTTATGTGACACAGGCCACAGGGAACTATCACAAACTTGGGCAGTTTCAGTCTGGAGTCTAATAGGGGCTGGGAAGTATATACACCGTGACAAGAGCCATAGGGTATGGACATTTTCAAGTATTCCAAAAATTTTTGATCCCTACGCCTCAAATTTATTCCATAGCTCCATCTTTTTTTTTTTTTTTTTGAGACAGAGCCTCAAGCTGTCCCCCTGGGTAGAG